AAAAGAAAATGAATAGCCTGGTGTTGTGGTGGACACCTGTAGTCCCAGCTACTTGGGAGGCTGAGGCAAGAGAATCCCTTAATCCCAGGAGTTTGAGATTGCTGTGAGCTGTGATGGCACAGCACTCTACCAAGGGCAACATAATGAGACTCTGTCTCAAAATAAATAAGTAAAGGACTGATACTGGTCCTACACCTCTCATCATGTATAAAAATTAACTCATGATGAAAAAGAAAGAAAAATTCTGCAAAAAAGATCTAATTCTAGGGGAAAAAAGAAAAAAATAATTGACTCAGGCTGGATAAAAGATTTAAATCCAAGATGTGAAACTATTAAAAACCCTAGAGGAAAGTGCAGGAAAAGCTCTTAATCTTATTGGCCTAGGGGAAGAATTTATGAAGAAGACCCCACTGGCAATTACAGCAATAGCAAAATTAAATAAATGGGACCTGATTGAGTTAAAAATCTTCTCAGCTAAGGACATAATCAACAAAGCAAAGAGACAACCTACAGAATGGGAGAAAATTTTGCATGCAATGAATCTCAGACAAAGGGTTAATAACCACAATCTACCTAGAACCCAGGCAAATCAACAAGAAAAGATCAATTCACCCCATTAAAAACTGCACAAGAATTGTGCACATACATGAACGGAAACTTCTCATGAGTACAATTGATGTCCAACAAATACTTGAAAAAGTGCTCATAGTCCCTAATCATCAGAGAAATGCAAGTCAAAACCACTTTGAAATATCACTGACCCCCATGAGAATGGCCCACATCACAAGGTCCCAAAGCAACAGATACTGGTGTGGGTTCAGAGAGAAGGGAACACTCCTATACTGCTGGTGGGACTGCAAATTAGTGCAGCCTCTGTGGAAAACAAGTATGGAGAGTCCTCAAAGAACTAAAAGTAGACTTTATTGGATCCTGCAATCTTCATTACTAGGTACTATTTACCCAAAAGGAAAAAGTCATTTTACCATAAGGACATTTGCACTTGAATGTTTATTTTATAGCAGTACAATTCACAATAGCAAAGATGTGGAAACAAACCAAGTACCCTTCAACCCATGAATGGATTAATAAACTGTGGTATATATTACTATCAGCTATAAAAAAGATGGAGATTTCTTATCTTTTGTAACAACTTGGATGGATTTGGAGAACATTCTCCTAAGGGAAGTTATCAGGATAGGGAGAAAAAGGTACCACGTATACTCAGTACTTAGTTAGAGCTAGTAGATTAACAACTACATGCTCGGGTGGCGCCTGTGGTTCAGTGAGTAGGGCTCTGGCCCCATATACCGAGGGTTCAAACCTGGCTCTGGCCAAACTACAACAACAACAAAAAAATAGCCAGGTGTTGTAGCGGGCACCTTTAGTCCCAGCTACTTGGGAGGCTGAGGCAAGATAATCGGAGCTGGAGGTTGCTGTGAGCTGTGATGCCACAGTGCTCTACCAAGGGCGACAAAGTGAGACTGTTTAAAAAAAAAAACAAAACATAGTCATGTTAGAGAAAAACTCAAATTCAAATAAAGGGGAGGAAGACATGAGTACATTGCACAGGTATTTGCTCACTTCCTGGGTAAAGAACAACTACAACCTGGACTTTAACCTTGAGACAGAGCCTCAAGCTGTTGTCCTGAGTAGAGTGCTGTGGCATCACAGCTCACTGCAACCTCCAGCTCTTAGGCTTAGGCGATTCTCTTGCCTCAGCCTCCCAAGTAGCTGGGACTATAGGTACCCGCCACAATGCCTAGCTATTTTTTTGTTGCAGTTTGGCCGAGGCCAGGTTTGAACCCGCCACCCTC